TGCAATCCTGTCCAATGTGTCCCCTGCCTCATGCCCTGCGATGGACTGGCATCCTGTCCAATGTGTCCCCTGCCTCATGCCCTGCGATGGACTGGCATCCTGTCCAATGTGTCCCCTGCCTCATGCCCTGTGCTTCTTCAGGATCGCACAGGGCAGACATGCTTCTTCAGGATCGCCATAAACCTGTACTAAAGATAAGATGGATAAGTGGATGACGTGTGATAAATGTTTCAGTTCACTTGCTTGTTCAAAACACAGTGCATGTTTGTGCCAAGTATTTTGTAGTTTTATGGCCCAGAAATTATACTGGTCTATAAATTTCTCCCCTGCAACGGTTTAAATGTAGTAAATTTCTGTGAACATCTTATGCAGTCACAACACGGGAATGCTTTGTAACTGACAAAAGACAAGTTTGAGAAAATCAATATGATTGGCTATTACAGCATATTGTAAAGTACTTTCAGCCACCACCTTTAAGGTTGTGATCGTCCGGGCGATCACGTGGCCTGTAATAATGTCCCGCACTTAAATCACCAGCATAAACTCCCCAGCCGCTACACACCAGTATCACTCGATGAGTATACGGGAAGCGCCGGCACCCCTGCTGTATAACTACACTGTCATTCCTCTTTGCATCACCTTCATTTGTCGAGAGGATTTACTGCTGTAATGTAAAAATCTGTGTAGATGACAATAAAGAGAGTAAAAGGCGTGCTGTTGCCGGATTACTGAATGCCTGCAGCTACATTTATGGGATACTGACGAACCACCTGCCGTGTATTGATAAAAGTAATGACTGTGCCCAGTTATCATGAACTGGCAGGATGTTTGTGCCCGTAACCTGCCCCATCGCAGTGCTGTACCTGACGGGGCGCAGGGGCGGAGTGGGGGCACTACCTACCTCAGCTCCCGAAAGCGTTAAATCCTACTAATTTACTTAATTCAATTTGCCCAAGAGCAATAGCCTATTCATCAGTCTGGAGTTAACGGTTAGGAAAACACGCGTAGTGCTGAATTCAGTTAAGATTTTTTAATGGGAAAGATCATTATATTTTGAAATGTTACAAGTTTGCATTTGGTATTCATTCTGTACAAACAAAACGGTGTTTAGATCAGTATATAAGATATGAACTGATTAAGATTAAGACGTTGTCCAGTTTAAATGTGACCAGATAATACTTTTGTTATGCTGTGCGAAACTAAATACTGACAATGCCGGGAGCCAGCAGCCTAATTCGCAGGTTTTAACTCCATTTTAATATTTTTCGTTGACAGCAAATTAAGGACAATGATGTCTAAAGGCATGTTAAAACATGGACGCGTAAAAACTGTTCAGCAATGATAATCACTTGTCCGCTCAAAAGCAGAAATTATTCTTTTTTCGCAATAAATATAAATACAATACAGTAAAATATTATTTCGTTGGGCATCTAGAGGTTTATCGAACTCCAATCACAGGAACACTGTAATACACAGTAGGCTAATAGTAATTTCTAGAAACAATGCAGTTACTGTACATCTTAAATTCCGTTTGACAATTTCCGTCTGCACGCCGTATCTGCGCTTACCTATGCTTTTAAATGCACGTTAATAATGTCGCCTTACCTTGTGCCATCAGTGCCATAAAAAGAAATAATAAAGTCTGTTTTCCCGGTGAACTCATTTGGGGCAGTATGTCCTCTCTGTTTTAATTATTATTTTTATTATTGCTAAGGTATGCCGCTGAAAGTTTCGGTTGCCGATGGAGATGGCGAGCTTGTCAGCGCCTTTTCTGGGATGAGAAGTTGGCCGAGTCCCACCTCTATGGGCGCACCCTCCCTCCCGGCTCCCGCAAAGGCACCGCGCCCCCCCCAGACAAAGTGCCGTCGGACAAACGCACAAAGACGCACCGAGGGGTCTGGATATATATACTTGTATTATGTGACGGATTATATTTGCACTGCGAGTATTGAGTCATGTGTGTGAAATTGTCGTGCTCGCCAGTTTATTTTCAAATTAATTTATATTTTATATTACGACTATGGCTGAGAGAAAAAGTGAACTGAAAGACGTATTTGGATATTTGAGCTTTATAGGTTAGTAACTTTCAGCGGGACCACTACATGCGGTGTTTGGACGCTCACACTACGTCTGTACTCTTGTTCATTTGTTTCAAAGGGGTTACCGGTTTAAGGAATCCTTCTGATGCGTTTAAATCGTTTTCATTAAGAAGTAGAAATATTTAGCGAGCCTTGCGCGTATGTTGTGCTGTTTTCAGCACATCCTTTAGTTTGTTGTAATCTGCTTAGTTTTATAGTGAGATTACGTTTGACCTCGATTTCATAAATATTTTTTCCTCTTTTGATTTATAGAGTTGAGGGGGAAAAGCTGCATGGATAAAGGCGTGATTAATTTCCTTTTGAAAGTGAAAATGCATCCTGGTCTACCTACGTTTGTCTATTAGGTGCGGGAATACATTGCTCCATTTGTACTGGAAAGCTGGAATTTCCCAATTCCTAGTCAATAACTTCGACTGGAATGCCCCCTGAAGTCACATGGAGGCTGCCATTTTAACTGGGAAGTCAGAATTTAATTGCTAATTCTTGGTCAGAAATTTCAACCAGAACTCCCCATGAAGTGAGAAGGGTCCAGCTGCAGACACCTGTAGAGTGGAGCTCCACCGGAAATACATGACCTCAACTCAGCGAATAAACCCTAACCTTAACCCTAAACCTAACCCTAACCGGAGCTCCACTTTATGTCCTTAAAGGTCACATCTTTCCTGTGACGTATTTCTGGTGGAGCTCCACTCTACAGGCGTCTGCAGCTAGACCCTCTTGCCTGAAGTCCGAACACCGAATTGGCAAGTCAGAATAACCTCTGCAACCCCGACCTCAGAATCCAAGATGGCTGCACTCTTCATCAGCAGAAGTGAAAGCTTTATTTATATACTGTTTATTAGCACTTATGTCTTATTTGTGCCTCATTAAATCAGTCGTAGACACAGTACTGTCCAACTGCTATCTGTGGACATGTTGCTATGGTGTCTCTATATGCAAAATGCCGCTTGAGTTGTCAACTGGTATTGCTAACACTGGCTAACAATGAACCTGGCTAGACCGGGAATTGCTAAATAGCTTTATAACTTTTCTCACTGGAATGCGGTTAACCTGGGTGTGATGTCATTCCCAGCTCTGGCTTCCGACTTCGAAGGTAAATGCGACGCAGTGAGATCTCCAGCTCGGGAAGTCAGTGGACCCTCCACAACCCTCGCCTAAGACTTCAAGATGGCCGCACTGTAGTAAAAAGCTGCAGTGATTATCTGCTCATACTGCACTTTCGTCTTATTGAGTCTCACTACATCGGTCGTACACACAGTTCTGTCCAGCCTCTATCTGTGGACAAGGCACCATGTTTGTATGTGGGAAAAAAATGCAGTGTAACACGTCATCATCCGGTACTGCTAACAATGGCCGTCCTGGATAGATCTACTGGAATCCAATGAACTCGGGTGTGACGTCATTGCCAGCTCCTACTTCTAAGGTAAATGAAACATTAGCCCCGGGGCAGAGGTCTCACAGCACAGGGGGCTCACACAAAGAGGGCCCCTCAGGAATATTTGCCAACCTGGGGAGGGAGAGTTCTTAGTAAACTGCTGCAAATTTTGCATGATCATGTGATCATCTGTTATCGAAAGTGGCACTCACTAAAATCTGCTGGCCAGCAGGTGGGGGGGGGGGGGCCTCTTCTGAAAATTCGCAGTGGGTGCCCCCTGGAGGGACGTGCGCCCCACCATACATAGTTACAAATGGATGGATATACACTACACACCATACCGAAGCTCTTTGTGTGTCTGCTTACCTTCAGTCCTCCATACCTTACATAAATACGCATCACATGTACGGATAGTCATATGGTCACGCTATATCTGATGGACCATTAGATTGCCAGTATTTCATGAATGAAGGTCATCATGTCTATGTCTCGTGTCTGTGGCCTTTGTGTCCGTTTCATTTGTCAGCTTCATTTTACAAAAATAAATTCTGAATTTGAGCAGAAATATTCTTCCTGAGTCTGTGCACTCTTGTGATTCAATGGAGTGTGAATGTTCTCCACTGTTATTTTTTAATGCGCCCGGCCCTTTAAGAAGCATTTCTGGTTGAAGCTCTCTGCTTAGGCAGTGGTGGCCAAGTCGTGTTCCAGCATTGGCCACCCTTCAGGACAGCAGGCTGCAGAATGGTCTGCTTATGTCCCTGAAGACGAATCCCGCCAAGTTTCAGGGCAGCGCTGTCATTAGCGATTGTCTCTCAGCGGTTCGCGGTCCTGCCTCTGTACTCTGACAGCTGCAGCTATGCCTTCCTTCACCGCTGACCCTTCAGAAAAGAAATATAATTAACTGATAGCTTTATGCTAATAGCTGTATGAGATAAGATGTAACAGTGGAGTCCTTTATCCTGGTGGCAAGCTGCCTCAGTGAGTAGCAGTGTTACACTTCCAGGGTTGTGAGTTCAAATCCCACTTCCTCTTTGGATGGATACAATGTGACAGGATAGTCTCTGTATAACCATAAAAAGGTTGGTCACTTGAAGGACTCCAGTAAGCACTGTGAATGACCATTACTTGGTTAATTAATTTCAAATGATTCATTAAATAAGTTCACCTTCCGACCCTTTACAGCTGCCCTCATATACCCAGGACACAGACCACCGTTAAATTACCGGGTCTAAGTTTCTCCAGCCCAGAGTCTCGCCCTTACCGCTCCCATTTTATGGACTGTCAGTCATTTTTAATGTTTAAGGTTGAATACGGGTCGTAGCAGGACAATGGAGGGAAGAAGAGTGGAAAACTGCTTTAAGTAAGATCAGAATCACAAAGAGAGAGGCCACTGGTTTCATCAATGGTTCAGGGCATAGAAGCCAAGACCGCTGACCGTTCCATTGTGAGTTTCATTTCATCGACTGCATTTTCGCAGGTATTTTTTTATATTTAAATGGTAAACAAAGCGGCCACTGTGACTTCGGGACTGAGCATCCAATAGTGTAGGGGTCTCTGGCTCAGACACGGAAAAGCCGGGAGTAGAATAGGAAGATTAATCACCAAGTCCCCATTTTCGCAGAATTTTTATCTCATGACTGTAAACGTCTTGGGCCAAATTGGTTTCTTCTGTGGCTCTTTGTCCTTTTAATCCCGATTACAGTAAATTTGGTGCTACTTTAGAAGTCAGGATGCAAACCCCTCAGATTCAGGCGCTCGGTGAAAACTGCTGACGATCCGGCTCTTTTATTACTATGTAAAATCTTTTTAAGGTTTATTGTTATAGTGACAAAACGGTTGGTGTGTTGGACTCAGTGCTTCTGGTCAACACCTAGGATGACTGTGTTTCACAGGGTGGCGTAAGCCAAGGAGGAAAATGCAATCAGGCTGTGAAGAAAGACAAAAAAAAGGAAGATGAAAGGAGATGAGATACACTGGGGGGTCCATTGGGGGGGTCCGTTGGGTTTTGTGGGTCACCCCTGTCTCCTGCCTGCCTCAGTCGCTTCCTCCTGTACTCAGGTCAAACCTTCAAAAATCCTTTTTAATCTTTAAAGCCGGACTGTATCATCAAGCATGACTTCCTTGAAGGGGTGCATCATGGGATTGCCCGACCTTAAGAGGATCTTTAATAAGTCATGGGGAGTGTGGGGAGCTGGCCCAGGGCGGGGGTCCTCCGTAAGGACGGCAGCTTCCATCGCCGCTTCCACAGCGACAACAGACACGAAGCGTCAGAAGCCAAGGAGGCTGGGATTATCGTGGCCCATTAAACGCTGCGAGCGCAGCGTAATCTCACACTGCGACTCTGAAGCCATATTTACTGCATCCATTTGCTGTATATTCCTCTAATTGACAAAATGCAGCTCAGAAGCTTCTAATGCAGAAAAAGCCCCAATCATATAGGTCAGAGGCTATTTGGAAGGACACCACTGAATGTTGTATATTTAGAAGGCAGTCTATGCAGTGACGCTGTTTATGCAGTGACGCTGTTTATGCAGTGACGCTGTTTATGCAGTGACGCTGTTTATGCAGTGGCGCTCACTTGGCATAAAACAATGAAAATAAAAACTGTTCCAGAATCGAGTGAAAGATGACAGTGATGGATTTTAAAGGACAGGCATGACAGTGAATGGGTCTGATCGATGAAGAGGAAGTTTGAAAGTCTTCCTCAGGTAACTAACAAGTCCTTCCGGTTTGTTCTTCTCGCACCGCCGTGTCACACAGCTCGACTCTTCCCCCCCTGAAGAGGGCGCCATCTCTTCTATTTAATGTCAAACCCTGCTGCAAGTCCACAGCAGCGACTGTAAGGTCACTGACATTTGTTCAAACGTATTTGAGAAACGACCACCAATCCAGACAGGTCCTGGCTGACCTAATGTAGCCTGTAAATAAGTCTGCAGTGATGCTATGGCAACGTGCAGCCAAGGCACGGACTCCGACCCTTAATTTGGGATCCTTCCTGTAGATCTGACACCAAAGCAAGGACACGTCGTCATGCCTCACGACTGACATGGAATGATGTGATTTTGAATTGAATGCACTTGTGGATATATGAATGTGTTTATACCTGGGTACTGCCGTTTGTTCATACATGCCTGTCCCCGCAAACCTGCCCATTGTTTGTGTAACGTGTGATAGTATTATCACATTTTCCATGTTGTATATCTTCGTCCCACCCTACTCTCCTTCATGTCGACTGTGTTGCGTCATGGTTCTTCGAGTTGAACACAATGCTGGTATTTGAAGGTGCATTTTAAAGACACTACAAAAATAAACCATTTTAAAATATCCCAACCATATAGATCAACAATTTAAGAACGTCCGATTGTTTAGTCTGTCTGCAATCCTGGGAGAATTTCATTCGCTTCTCTCTTTTGCTCTATTTCTCTGTGGTAAAGTGGACTAGTAAGATATTCTCAGAGCTACTAAGCGTCTTTGTTTGTATTTTTTTTAGGGAAAGAGGCCAGAGATGTACAGCAGGGTGTAAATATGGATAATTAATGGTATATGGATAGAGAGGCAAATGGAAATGTTCAGCTAAGAGAGGAGGAATGCACTTCATAAATATTGATCCTAGATCTCGCGAACAGCATAAATCGGGCCGTGCATCACGAGCATCAACATGGTGCTTTAAGGAAGGCCTACATTAGGGAAACGCGGAGCATTAAGGAAGGCCTACATTAGAGAAACGCGGAGCATTAAGGAAGGCCTATATTAGGGAAACATGGATGGTCCACTTGTCTCACACCAGGCCACTGAGTAGCATCACGATTCAGTATGTTTGTTGTACTGGAGGTTCTGATAAACCAGTAAGAAATGCTTTGACTGTATTTAAGTGTCCCGTAAACAGGGGGGGGGGGGGCTTTTCTGAAGCGTCAGGCGGCAGCATGGGAGGGAAAAGGGCTTCCTGAAATTTTGCTGTGAGAGCCCGGTAATGTGATGAGCATCGATCGCAGATAAAAGCCCATAAACACAGTGTTTCCTGGCGTACTGTGGGGCATCGAGATGCCCAGTGCTGGTCAACCCATTAGGCAACATAGGCAGCTGCCTAGGTGCCGACCTATTGGCCTCTTTATCAAGGGGGTGGGCCTTTAACTGGGATGACGGCCTCCTGTTCAGGGTGTGGGGCCTTTAACTGGGATGACGGCCTCCTGTTCAGGGTGTGGGGCCTTTAACTGGGNGTTCAGGGTGTGGGGCCTTTAACTGGGATGACGGCCTCCTGTTCAGGGTGTGGGGCCTTTAACTGGGATGACGGCCTCCTGTTCAGGGTGTGGGGTCTTTAACTGGGATGACGGCCTCCTATTTAGGGGGTGGGCCTTTTACTGGGATGACGGCCTCCTGTTCAGGGTGTGGGGCCTTTAACTGGGATGACGGCCTCTTGTTCAGGGTGTGGGGCCTTTAACTGGGATGACGGCCTCCTATTCAGGGTACGGGGCCTTTAACTGGGGAAATAGTGATGTTAATAAATGGGACAGAGGAAATTCAAACTACTTAGAAGTGAAAAATTGCCCAAGCACAGCGACACATTTTTTCAGGATGTTTGTTACACCAGAGAGATGTGGTTGGGGTAATGATCAAATCAAATTTGAAAAACTTTATTCTTCTACTCTATCCTACTGCTCTATCCATTTTCTACAGAGTCATGGAGAGTCTGGAGCCCATCCCAGGAAGCAAAGGACCCGATGGAGTCCAGCACAGAGTCATGGCGAGTCATGGTAAGGGCACATTCGAAATCCATTGATACCTTGCCTCTTTGGCTGTAGAGCCTCTCCCCACGTTACGATAGGTTTGTCGAAACGTAATCCCATCGTAAGGTGAAAATATTGAAAGGCGAAAATGCATTTTAATACAGTACACCTAACCTAACAAACATCATAGCCTAGTCTAGCCCACATTAAACATTTAAACACTGAAAGTGTAAAACATTTACCATCATAAAGTTGAAATATCGTAACATGGGCGATTGTAACCCGGAGAGGGTCGGTATAGATGCTTCATTTTCAGTTTTTCTGCCCAGTTATTTGTACCTTTTTGCTTGGTACACTCACCTGCTGCTATTACCGTTCACTCCGATTCATACACTGTTCCTCAGTGTTACTTTCCCTGAGAAACTTCCTCACGGAAACAGTCCACCCCCACCCCGAAGCCTTCGGCTGGCCGCTTCCCTGCAGATTATCCCGCTGGATGGTTGCGGGGGAGACCAAGGGAGGTTGGGGGGGGGGGGACTCTTCAGTTTATGTAACACAATGACATTATCAAATGCCACATGCTGTCTTCTTTGTCCTGATGGAGATGTTGGTTTTGTCCCTCCATGGCATTTACTGATATCCCTGCCGCAACTGTGTAAATAAACAGAAAATCCCCCAAACTGCCTGAAATGGAAAACAAATGCCAGCCCATGTGTATTCCCAGTCACTCCAAGGATGATTCCCAGTGTCTCCAGGAAGCAAAAATAACTTGCTTGGATTTTAATACTTATAAAACATGCTCCAATGGCACATCCACGCACACATGAATGAAATGTGCGTTAAACAAGGAGGCAGGTCCCCCGAACATTCTGGGGTTAGCTTGTGTGTATATAAGCATTTCATTCCTTTATTCACATTATGTGACAGTGAGGGCTATCTGATCTGGTGCGTTTCATTTACTTATATCCAGACATTCCTTCATTCTCGATTTGCATACTCTTTTTTTGTAGAACAAATTAAGAGCTTCCATAAACAAAACAAACGTAATTCGCATTTTCATTCAGTAAATGTGACAATAAATGTAAGGAAGACAGGCGTGTCAGTTGGGCTGGTAAAGCACTATGTGTTTATTCATCAGACAAAACATCAGTGGTTTTGACATTTTACACAAGCCCATTAGAAAGCCACTGGAATCCAGTTACAGCAGGAAGGAATCACAACCAAGCCCAAATTCATCCTTCAGAGGAAAATGTCTATAATCCCAGGCTACATAGTAACAGGTTGTTTGTGATTCTTCAGTATTATTGTCTGTGTTACCTACTGTTTCCATTGTCATTATTCTCTCGATGCTGCTAATTCTTAGAAATTCTGTTAATATTCTATTAACTGACACAAGTAAACATTACATTTTAGTGAATTAATTTGAAGTTGACGTTAACAACAGCCAATAATCTGAATTACCTATACTGATCTCAATATTGGTTACATTTTTTAGAATGATACATGATTTATTTTTGCTTGAGTAAAGATTTACACATTTACACATCAATGTGAACTTTACTAGTATTTTCTTGTCTACGATCAAATCGATCAGTATTTTGCTACCAATATTTTGCATGCTTATGATACTATTCCGTGTGTGTTTAATACAGTTTTGAGTCTTTCCTGACTGTGAAATACTCAACAATCTGTTACCCAAATGATGAAAACAAGCAATGAGTGCGGGAATAAAGTTACTGAAGAAACTCTGCTCAGCCTGAACTGGCTGGGAGGGTTACGAGCATTTCTGATGTACAAATTTCCCGCTTAGAGCAGCAGAAATATCAGAATCGATACTCTGTGTGCTGGTTAAAGGGTGTTAGCAAGATGGTCTGAGTGGAACTGCATGACGCTTATGCAGTAAAGTGTCTCCCAGCTTCAGTGAAAGTTCTAAAAGACTATGACTAACATGAGTCACAGTATCGGCCCCAACAACGTAGACCGGACTCCCTCAGGCAAACCGCGTGGGTCGGCGGTCTGTTTTTATTGCTTCTATACCATTTCTGAATGCCTGATTCTGGTGCTTAGAAACCAAACACAGAAACTGTAATATATCACAGAAGATACAGATATTGGGCTTAAAGAGGTTTTTTGAATAGTTCTGTCAATTTAAAATACATTCCCCAAAAGACATCTAAAAAATAAAAACCTTCCCCCAAAACATGAATCCATGTGTTCTATTGCTTTGATGTATAACAGCTGGTCACATTTAGACTTCTGAAGTTTGACTCTTCAAAGTGAGGTCTTCGTTGTCAGATGACAGGGCAGAGGTGAAAGGTCAAATCGCAACATCAAGTTTGGGCCATTGGAAAAAGAAAATGTTAAAATCATACAAAATAAAAAGTAAAACATGGAGCGAAAATTGTGGTTTAGTACACCTGGATTTGTAATACAGTGTCTGCCAAAGGAGGTCCTGAGGTTATCTATAGATATGTGACTATGACTCAGTTACCAAGGGTGTCTGGGCTACGCTGTTCTGGAAAATGGGTGAAGTATTCTGCTTACTGGTCAGCGGCTCCCAGCGAGCTGTAGCTCTGAAACAGGGGCTGCATGAACAGACCCATGGTACCAGTCATGCAGACCAGGACAAATATCCAGAGGAAGAGCCGGTCAATCACCATGGCCACGTACTTCCAGTCCTCAATGATCTGGAGCAGGAAGCAGTGCTTAGCTTAGCAGGGTGTTCAGGTGCTTCACTGTCTGGTACTTTTCATGTGAGATGACATGAACACAGAGATGGATGTTCTTTACGATGACATGAACACAGAGATGGATGTTCTTTATGATGACATGAACAGAGATGGATGTTCTTTAGGTGACATGAACACAGAGATGGATGTTCTTTAGGGTGACATGAACAGAGATGGATGTTCTTTAGGTGACATGAACAGAGATGGATGTTCTTTAGGTGACATGAACAAAAAGATGGATGTTCTTTAACATGACATGAGCAAAGAGATGGATGTTCTTTAAGGTTACACCACCACAGGTTAATAGAGAATTATTATGACTAACATGCATTTCACTGTCAGTCACTTGCTTTAACCAAGCATGCTTCATGGAGCTACATTTGACTCTGCAGCAGTTACACCCCGTTCCCATGAGAGATCTGCTTATACTCACACTCTCAGCATCGTCTTCGCTCTTCATCTGCTCAGCGATGTACCGCACCCCATCCACGGCCTGCTCCACATCCACATTGCACTTGACGGTCATCCTCTTCCTGAACTCTGTGTTTTCCGAGAGGTTGCTGATCTTCCAGCCAAACCTCTTGGCCGACTCCTCGTTGACGTGGAGGGATTCTGCCTCGGCCTTCCCCAACTTCAGCTCGGAGCGGGCTCTCTGCTGCTGCTTCCGCCGGAACCTCTCCCGGACATTGGAGGTCCTGGGCCTTCGCATGAAGAGCAGGGCGGGCAGCTTGTGGAGGAAGGTCCGCTTGACCCAAGGGGGCATGGTGTGGGTACTGGGTGAGCGGTGGTGCACGTTGAGCACGCAGACGCTAGTGACGATGGAGAAGGTGACTAGCACCATGGTAAACATCAGGTACTTGCCGATTAAGGGCACAGCCAGTGAGGTGGGGGGTACTATCTTGGATATGAGGAGCAGGAAGACAGTGAGGGCCAGGAGGACAGAGATGCAGAGGGTGATCTTCTCTCCACAGTCAGACGGCAGGTAGAAGACCAGGATGGCCAGTGAGGTTATGAGGACACACGGGATGATGAGGTTGATGGTGTAGAACAAAGGCTTCCTCTTTATGATAAAGTCATAGGTGATGTCCAAATAAGTGACATCATTCGGGTCCTCATTTTTCCTCCCTGGTAAAGACACAATGTCCCACTCGCCACTGGGCGTGAAGTCATCCCGGCTAGCGAAATCGCTAGTCAGTATGAGGTCGATCTCAGTGTGGTCGTACGTCCATGACCGGAACTTGAGCGTGCAGTTCTGCTGGTCGAAGGGGAAGTCCTTCACCTCTATTTTACAGGAGCTTTTGTAGATAGCCGGAGGCAGCCAGAATATATCCCCATTGCTGGAGACCACGGCATTGCAGTAGAAAGACACTTCATAGGTACCGTCAGCACTGACAGAAGCAGAGAAACAGACAAGGATTACAACCATTCAGATGAGGATTCGTGTCTAAAGGCGTGACGTTTTGCCAGCTGTGAACAATGTTAACCAAGCATATGACTGAATTTTTAGTAGATGTACTGCAGATATTTTACATTTCCATCAGTCGACTCCTTAGAGTATTATCTTATTAAAGCACAGCATATTTTTTCCACGCTAATTTGCTTTTAAAATCATCCCGTTGGTCAGAATAGCAAAACATGTGGTCTGCCGCTTCAAAGAAGGTATAATGAAATCTGACACCACCATAGTTAGGATAATCGAGCCTTCTGGCTGTCTCCTTCATCCAGCTTTTATGAGGCTATGTTGCAATACCTCTGGAAGCCCACAGTCAAATAAACATGACGGGCATCTCAGAACGAGTACCAACGGTAAGCAGATGCACCTACAGCGAATCACGCAGGAAAACAACGGCCTTGTCTATGAATGTGTGGCTATTTCATTCCGAATTCTGAACACCATATGTGCTGCTAATGTTAACTTAGCATCTTCAGCCCATAAAAGGTATAATTTGGCCCCAACTTCAGGATCTAGATCAGTGATCATGGAGAACCACCAAGGTTGACCGTGACCCATGTGAGAGAATGGTCATCATTAAAAGGAAGTCTGACTTGGAACAGGAGTGGATTCTGAAGATCACCAACCCTTCCATCGCTAATCACAGTGTAGTAAACACAGGCCAGTAACACTTTACTTAACGGGCACAAAAAATGTAGTTATGTGCGTGCAAAGTGTGTTGGTTCTACATTGTATTTTTGAACTTCAAACCTTGTTAAGCATTTTTACGTTAACCATATTGATTCATAATGTGCATTACCGGGTCAGTCTGAATCAACTTGCGATCCGGCCTTTGAGAACACCTGTCTGCTTTTTTAGACGTTCTAATTGCTCATGTTGACCCTAAAATAACACAGGCTATTAGCAAAACATGGACTTAAAGACAAGACATGGCAGAGATTCAGAGAACTCTCACTTGTTGTAGAGGACAATGTCCGGCAGCCAGATGTGCTGTGATGGCATGCGGAGCTTCTGGATCCCCTCGTACTCCTCGGGGTTCCACATCAGCCGGTAGTCATTCCACTCCTGCAGAGACCATGAGGAACACGACCATAAGTGACGCCCGCAGATTCCATCTGCAGGAACAGCACTTAAGTGGCGAATAGTGGAGATACAGGCTGCGTACCTGGGTAAGCCACACATTCGTAGTCATGATCTGCTCCCTTTCATTCTGCAGAAGACAGAGAGACCATCACCAGACCAGAGATCAATGGCTAAAAGACATGTGCTAAATTATTAAAGCTTTTCCATTGTATTTGTAGAATAGTCAGGGATTCAAAGGAAAGTAAAGCCCTTATTTTCTTAAGAATCCAAGTTAATATGCAGTATAATCAAAGACAGAGATTGACAGACTTATAATGCAAAAGTAATGTATAGCTAAAGAATTCCATTGGGTTTATGCTATTGAAAGTGACATCGTATGGACTGGTCCATGGAATGCATTGATTAATAATTGTATAACTACAATAGTCAATCTGCAATGACTAAAGCTTCTAAAGGAGTGAGTCACATGCAGTCTTCAGAGCTGAATCTAAGAAAGGACATAGATTTCAGTGTGGACCAATACTGCGGGACTATGGTGTGTGTTTAGGGGGGCGGGGGGGGCTGATTTGCTCCCTATCAGTACTGACACCAAACCTAAGCCCGTGAATCTATGGGTTTGTTTCTGAGTCAAATCGAGGAAACGGCGGCAGGTCATTGGCTGTGTGATGGCATATTTCTTTCCTGGGGGAGGGTGGGACCAGGGCGGGTACCATTAGAAGCCCATCTGGCGCCCCAGGGCAGCGTTTCTCAACCCGGTCCTTGGGGACCAGCAGACGGTCCACGTTTCCGCTCCCCCCGGCTGCTGAACCGGTGGTCCGTCTGGGGGTCCCTGAGGCCCTGAATGAGAAACGCTACCCTAGTGAAGATGCCCCCCTCCAGCGTTCACCATCCAAGACAATGTGGAGTTCAGCGGTGAAGCATGCTGTGTGGGGGGGCGGCTGCCTGTGTCCCTGGGCGGGACACTAACACCTGGTTGTAGGGAAACGTCCCGGGGGGGCGTTAGTAGCCCACTGACCAGGCTGATGAGCTGGGCCAGGGACACCTGGATGGCCACGGTGACCCGCTGGCTCTTGTTGACCGCGGGGCGGATCAGCTTGTTATAGTGCTCTGGGTCCAGCAGGTGGGTGACCAGGCGCTCCTCTGCGTCGGCGGCCGTCGCGGCTACAGCACAAACGATGGGGCGGGATCAGGTTTACGGGACACATTCCGGAATGATCCAAATACTGCCCACGGAGCAAGCGCGTGAAATCTCTGAGGTCTACAAAACCAGACAAAAGAAAGCTCATGGCCAGGCTGCTGATTGGGCGTCTCTCGATGCCCCCCCCCCCCGTCATCTACACAATTAAGCAGAGAGGAAGCAACAAAGACATGAAGTGAAAGGTGCGACTAAAAGGATATGAGGAGGCACGGAAATGTGAGCGGAGACAGGACTCCGTGGAAGGAAGGAGAAGCTTCCATCACCTATCAGAACGATCAAGTAGGATCTATCCAAGGAATTAAAGGTGGCAATCAGAATGAAGGAATTCAAAGGCAGATAAATAATAAAACACAATAAAACGTTATAATCACAGTGTGGAGAAGACATGGGAATAAAGAGTGTTATAAAAATGACAGAGGAGAAGTTCCTACAGATCCGGGAACTCGACGATTCAGAGGGGATTTCTGTGACAGAAGGCAGCAGAACCGGACTGATTAAGGAGAGATTTCTGTGGCGTACGGCAAGAGAATCAGCCTAGTGTGGGGATTTCTGTTAAAAGTACCGGCAGGAGAACATCTCCGCTCATCAGGGTGAATCACTGCAAGGCCACAATTCCATGGAGCAGGTGCTCAGCTCAAATTTAACAAATTAGTAGACAAAGAAAGTTCCACAAAAAGAACCAAAGAAAGTTCCAGAAACGGAACCAAGGTTTAGCATAGCAGCAGGAAAAACATCAGCAGTAGTTAATGGTTCTGAGAATTTTAAATATGCTACAAGTCGACAGACTTCCTGGAGCCTGTTTTGTGTGTAGAGANGGGGATCTGCTCTGTCAGGCTAATCTGTCTGTTAATTCAACTGAACAAGAATCGATGCACAGTGGCTTTCTTTCATGCAGTATTCATCGCTATGGTAAATGCTGGACATTGCTATTGATTAAAATGGAAAGGTGGGTGGCATTTTGGGAGGGAAACAACATCCATCCATCCATCTATCCATCTATCTATCTCTCTCTATCTAAGCCTCCTCTCAGCTCTCCAGAACCTTCCTGGCCACACCTGAGCAGAGTGGAGCTACAGAGTCCAGGGTGTTTTGCAAACGGCAAAAAGGCTAAAGCACCTCAAAGTGCAAAAACAGATACCAAAAATATACAGAACAGCACAGAAACAACAACAACGCTGTATAATTGTATTATTTAAATGGATTACATTTTATAATAGTCATCTTATTAAGATCTTCAGTGCTCTTTAAACAATAATTTGTAATTATAGAAACAGATTTGTGGCAAGAGAGAAAAGGATAGAATATTGATGCAGCGATTTATGGAAGAAAAAAATTCACATCACAGGGCACGGGGCTGGGGTACACCCTGGACGGGATGCCAGTCCATCACAGGGCACGGGGCTGGGGTACACCCTGGACGGGATGCCAGTCCATCACAGGGCACGGGGGATGGGGTACACCCTGGACGGGATGCCAGTCCATCACAGGGCACGGGGCTGGGGTACACCCTGGACGGGATGCCAGTCCGTCACAGGGCACGAGGCTGGGGTACACCCCAAACGGGATGCCAGTCCGTCGCAGGGCACGGGGCCGGGGTACACCCCGGATGGGATGCCAGTCCGTCGCAGGGCACGGGGCCGGGGTACACCCTGGATGGGATGCGGGTTCGTCACCGGGCACATGCTATGAGAAATTTATAGGCGTCACGTGACCTGACCTCAAGCCTTTTGGCCTGAACCACATGCAGACACCCATGTGCACAAAGATGAAATGAGAATCGAACCCACAACCCTGAAGGTCATACAGAGAACCACTGAGCCACATTCACATTTATTTACTTTAGCAGGAATGCGCAAGTGAGGGTAGTTTGGAGTCAGAGATCAGGGTCAGCCTGTGCTGCTGGAGCAGTTGGACTTAAGGGCGTCGCTCACGGCTCAATATTGATATGATATCTCTGCTGGCGATTGGGATTTGAACCCACAACCATCCCAAAACGGGCACAGAGTTCTAACTTAATGAGCTATTCACTGCCTCAGGACCACCATGTCACCCTACATGTAAGGCAAGCTACACAAAATATTATGTGGACTGTAAGACTAATAATTCATCACCGCCATCCCAGCATGCTTATTTTACATGGGTGAGCAGTTTTGTTTTTGCCCTGCCAAGTCGACTGTGAATTCTGGGTAGCATCAGGAAGTGGAGAGATGGGCTGGGATCCTCACTGCCACAGATGTTCAAGGCCCAGAAGCCTTCGCTGAGAGCCCCCAGAGGAGACACGTATGACACAGCTCCTGGCTAAGCAACTCAAATCCCAAACCCACAGCCATCCTAAGCCTTTCTAGCAATTAAAACGTTTCAATGCTCATCTAATTCTTTTAATTAGATTGTAATCTCTTGTTAAACAGGGTGCCAACATGTTACTGAGGGATCTGTCACTGCGTCAGAGAGGAGAGGCCATTTTATGTCGGGAATAAAGGGGGTTTGGGGCTGTAAACCTGTTAGTGCTGCATTCAGCCTGTCAGTCCAAAGTCCTCTGAAGTTATTTAACAGCGATTCATTCCCTCAAAGCAAACCATGGCATGGGGATTATGGATCCTGGGAGGATGTCACTGATTGGTTGAGCAGGATCTCTACACACTTTCCTATTAGTCAGAAAAGAGAGAAATCTCTCTGCATGAGCATGAAGGTACACATAATTGTTCTCCTCTGTGCTCCTTTCTTAAATATTAAATTCTTCTACCGACAGAAATATCTTCTTGGTAAATAATTCAGCCTAATGCCTTCTGTGGACTCACTTTAAAGTTAGTTTAGGAAACTGGAGCTCCTTTTTCTGCATTATGCCTGGCTGTGCATAAAGGACCTGTCCTGTGTTGTTCGTGTTGCTCACAGTCTCAGTGTTGATTGTCTCAGCACTTACAGTGTTGGTGGTGAGAGCTCCAGAGCCTGGAGTCTCGGTGCTGTACTGCAGTTGACAGTCTTGGTGCTGTACAGGAGTTGACAGTCTTGGTGCTGTACAGGAGTTGACAGTCTCGGTGCTGTACTGCAGTTGACAGTCACCATGCTATATTGGAGTTGACAGTCTTGGTGCTGTGCAGGAGTTGACAGTCTTGGTGCTGTACAGGAGTTGGCAGTCTTGGTGCTGTACAGGAGTTGACAGTCTCGGTGCTGTACAGGATTTGACAGTCTTGGTGCTGTACTGCAGTTGACAGTCACCATGCTATATTGGAGTTGACAGTCTTGGTGCTGTACAGGAGTTGACAGTCTTGGTGCTGTACAGGAATTGACAGTCTTGGTGCTGTACAGGAGTTGGCAGTCTTGGTGCTGTACAGGAGTTGACAGTCTTGGTGCTGTACAGGAGTTGACAGTCTCGGTGCTGTACTGGAGTTGACAGTCTTGGTGCTGTACTGGAGTTGACAGTCCCTGTGCTGTACTGCATTTGTCAGTCTCTGTGCTGTACTGGAGTTGACAGTCTCTGTGCTATATTGGACTGACAGTCTCTGTGCTATATTGGAGTTGACAGTCTCGCTGTTGATTTCCCCAGAGCTCACAGTTTCTGTGTTGACAGTCTTGGATTCTGAAAGCACTGGATCCCACAGTCTCCAGCTGATAACACTGGAGCTCACAGTCTCAGTGCTGACAGATTTGGTAATTAGAGCACTGGAGTTTATAGCCACAGTGCTGACAGACCCAGAGCTGAAAGTCTCAGTGCTGATATTCTCAGAGCTCACATCTCTGTGATGACAGACCCTAATCCCAGACTCAGCTGATGTAGCCCAAAAGAATACACTGCTGACTTCATTAGCTGACGTTGGAAATCTCAGTTTGCATACTATTCATTTGGTGGTGGGGGGGAAGGCAGGAAACATTGTAGTTCTACATTTCCAACTAACAGCCTGTCATGACCTGCTCGTCCGATCCTCCTGTGTGCCACGCCCCCTCATTTACCTCACGTGAAACCCTGATTGTGACCAGCTGTTTCCTGTTATTTCGGCTTATCTTGTGTATTTAAGTCCACGTCTGAGTCCGTATCTCCAGATCTGTCATTAACGTTGTGTTGTATAGTCCTGCTTGTCTTAGTGTGATTAAAACACTTCGTTCGCCCGACTTCGGAGTCCGGTTCCTGTTTCCCCCAATTCGAGCCACGCCGAACATAACACAGCCAATCCGTACCAGTGCATACTAGTTATAATAGGTTGCTATTTCTACACATATTGTTTAATACATATAACTGATTGTTAGTTCTGAATTTTTTAAATATAAATACTCCCCTCTGCTTGGCTCGCCTGGCTCGTGCATATTTCACCCCTGTTAAGTAGAGCAGAGATTGCTGTTCTTCAGTTCACTTCAGGCCATGTCAAATTAAACAATACATCAGATAGCCGTTTTAATTTCCCTGATTTCTCTAATCCTTCGGCTGCTGCTTGCTGCGTGAGTGCTTAATCTGTCCTGATTTTTCTAATAACGGAAATGAACAAATATCTGATCAGAAACAATTTCAGGCATCTGCGCAAGAAGATGAACAGGACAGAGAAACGCAAATAAGGATATGAAAGATGTGCTGCCGAATTCCGTAAGTGCCAACCTTATACCGCAGTTACCAATGAGGACATCTGGTTTCCCACGTGTGCCAGCTGTCCTATCAATTTTACACCGATTAGCGAAAAAAAAACACGGTTTAGCCTGTAGATACTGTAAGTTAGCTGCACTTCTGGGAATCACCAGTAGCCTAACTGGTAGTTATGAAGCTACTCGCTACACATCGTCCCTTAATATTATGCTACAACTCGGTGAAAGTCATTCGCGAAGCAGGCGTCGCCAGTCTTGCTGCGCTCGGGATATCCGACACCCGGACGCTGCATTTCTGTCATGATCAGTCTTCTCGCTGCATTCATACAGCCTATGCCGTTCATCAGGGTCACATACAATCAATACCGCAGTTGAATATACTTCATACCCTATAGGGTAGGGATGAATTGTCCGCACCACCGGGACATCTGTAAGATCAACGTTTCAGAAAAAGAGCGGACGTCCGCTTCATATATCACCGCAGAGGGTGCACATTGCTTTAAATGATGAGGCACCACTAAGACACCTGTACTGTCACAAAATATTACCGACACAATACAAGATTAGCAAAAGTGTTCTAGTTTCTCTCACATAGCCCATATGCTAGTTGTCTGAGTGCCCCCCCCCCCCAATTCTTTTTCCACCCAAACCCTGAAATAGGTCAAAATATTTGAAAGGATGTGGCGCTAGTTATTCATCGGAGCTGCTGTGTCGGTTTGATAAGCATGGGCATGTATACGTGTCGAAATCCAAAAATGTCATTACATGCTGTTCAACTATACACATCACGTGGTAAAATAATGACGTACTGAAAACGTGTTTTCCCATTTTGGAAAAATGTTTGGGAAAGAATATATAATATATATTTTTTCTATGACTTTCACTCGAATCATTCCCACTCTTTTGGTTTCTAATATTTTTTTACCCTTCCACTTAAATATTTGCAGACAAATCATTTCGTAAAGAACGGTAAAATGCTTCAAATATCGTATTTAAATGAACTTGTTTAATTAAACAAATCCTAATTTAGACGACATTTTATTACTTAAAGAAAGAATACTTCTAATCGGTAAAATTAATTAACTGTAAATCAGAAAAACAAAATTTTAAGTGCAACTTAATCATTACGTAATAAGATGCATATTAAAATAATCCAGTTATACGGAAATATACGGAAATACTTAATAAAGGGAAAAACCAAAGCAAGAGAATAGGGTGCAAAAGAAAAGGCTTTTTTTTTTTAGCCTAGTAATTGTACTTACTTGCCACAGACAGGAAGAGAATGCAAAGTGATAAAGTCACAGCCGCAGTCATCACCCAAAGCCCTTCTGTCCGGTGTCTTTCTAAACTTTAAACTGGCCCTTCTTCCTTCACAGCATGGCAATAAACACCCTGCTTGGCACGATTTAGGCTCCCATGCCCCCCCCTAACTGAGCGATGCCCCCCCCCAGTTACTTCCTAAGACGTTATCGCTTTCTCCTCTTCCCTTGGGTCGCCCAGCCGCGGACCCGCCAATTTCGCTTTGGATTCGGAAGCACTGGGCTCTTTTCAGCCTGAGGTGTAATTAGTGAATAAGTGAATATTGCTGGAGCCGGAAATAAAGGCGACGCTTTAGAGCGGGTTCCCCTCCTTGGAGATGCGCTCGTTTCAGTACCGGAGCTTGCTGCTGTCACACTGCACGTCTCAGCCTAACTGATATTCAGACTAAAAGCCGTCTTCTGTTTCTATATTTTATGCATAAATACACCATATTTGTCTTTGATTCCCCCGGCCAGAATGTTCTATGTGCACTTAGCTTAAAATGCCATTAAATAATGTCACTGTCACCATCGAGAAATAATTATTAAACTGACATAAATACAGATATAGATTGAGATAGGATTTTAGCTAAAACGCACTGAGAGTAAAAGCCTGGTGTGAGGCTGTGAATATTGTTTCGTTTATATGCGATAATATTCGTTTAATTAGGCAATTAGCCACGCTGAAGTCCTTCCATACGGCTCGTTTTCCGTTGTCGCAAAAGAGTAAGGAAGCCCACAGCAAAAAAGTTATAGGAATAGTTCTTATATTGTGTTTTCTGTTGCTATGACGTTTGCGTAAAACATTATTTAATTAAATCGTTGCATAGATTTCAACACCTGAAAACAAATACGGGCGGTAAAGCTACCGTTAAACACTAAATTTAGTAATGTTTTTTTTCAGAACTTCAGCATGTTTGACGTTTACACCACAGCCAACATTGAGCATTGGCCCATTTTTGCACAGGAATGTTTATGTATATCACACGTATATCAATACGTATATCACATTATTTTGATAAAATACTTAATTTGGTAAACGAATTGACAATGTAAATTCAGCAACACAAGAAGTTACTTTTTTACATTTTAACAGATGTTATTGGATAAACAATTTAATTATAAGATTTATAGTCCTTAATTATCACCTTGTATACGTCATACGATCAGAATTTTTTTTTAATCTTACATTGAATCAAGATCATCATCATCAAAGATATCATGCCATTTGGGCTATACCCAGTATCAAGAAGCCTACTCAGTGATCCTGATCATAGACCAAGATAACTGACCGTTCAAACATCTGCAGATCTACTCCACAAGGTTGGGGCTTCTTCTTGGTTATGCAACTGCTCATTTGAAATTTTAGTGTAAGTGAAAAATGACACATCTGTAAGAACAAATTCTCCTGTAAAATAATAATTTAATTAAACAAGCCATTATTTCATGGCTATCAGGACGTTACTGTCCAAGAACCAAAACCTGACCCATCCAAATGAACACTGAAGCTGAAGTGAGGTGGAATCTCAGAATGAGCCTTCACTCCTTGGTGCAACCCTCAGCATTTCCTTGTTTATTTTATCATGTGTGTTTTTTTTTCCGGCCAAACTAATGCTGGAAATGAGTTTCCCAGCGTTGTCTCTTTCCATTTGGGACACACATTTGTGCCTTTTTTTGCTTGTAAATTCACCGGCTTCTCTGCCAACACGTATGTGCAACAGCACTTAGTGTAGTAAAGCACTTAGTAATGATACCCTGCATAGTATTACGATCACCATGGAGACTGAAATAGCTGCATTATACTCACAGATGTGTCTAGATGAGTGAAGCGGGGTTCACAAAATATCGAGGCCATGTGGGGAGGCGTCTGTGAAAAGACTGCAGCAAGTTTCTCCGAGATCTGGCTGTCAGAGCTGATTCATTCCACCTGACGGCGCCGGGGACGTCGCTGCCGGTCTCTGCTCATATTCATCCAATCTGTTTGTAAATTTAAAGTAATTCATGCACTGAAACAGAAAAGGCCTGTCATCACAGGAAAAATAAAGGTGAAATATTTAATCATACTAATACCATATAACTAATGCTGTATAAGAAGGTTTTTTTGGTATATGACAAACATATTTTGTCTGTAACCACATATTGCATATTTAAATTGATCTGTCAGATCTCTTAACTGGCCTTCTATCTTTTCATTTCTTTGTCTTCTCTTTTCCCTGTTTCTCTATTATTCTGTCTTAATGAGGCTGAAATGTATCACAGCACGCCCATGTAAAGCACCTTGAGGCGACTGTTGTGAAAGACTTTATATAAAAAGTGAATTGAATTGAATTGAATTGAACTGAATTAAATTGAATTAACTAGAAGAGTCCCATGCTAAACTATTACAGCTCAATGCCCAGGGTGTAAACAGCATCCTACTCACTTACAGCATCATTCTGTTCACACCAGCTAAACAGCCACATTTAAGGTACACTTATAATTTAGAGGCTTAGCTACCAGAACCCACTCGGGAACAATAAAGGTGAAGCGAGATACGGGGGATTTCATCATCCCAGGTAATGAATGAGGTCATTAGCGATGCTGTCAGCTCTGACTACCTGTGGGAGTCGCGGAGGGCCGTCTCTGCCTTCACATAGCGACACCAATACAAACCCCTAAGTGTATAAATAACTTTCACTTGTTTGAAAAGACTAATTGGATGAATTCCTAAGAGCATTCATAATAATTAATCTTAGTCGAGCGCATCATGCAGGGTGACATGCATACAAGGCCACATTTCACCAGTGTATTTACTTCATATAACGATATTTAAAGCTCTTATTCATGTTTTAAAATCCATATAAAATACCCTACACAAAGCAGCCAATGAGTAGACCTCATGGGCGGAGCCTCCAGCACTGGTCAGGTGACCAGCATATGTGTTTTTTCCCTCTTCATTAGGATAGCTGATCTTCCAGGTAGTACTGCCATGTGCCCATCACATTCCACTCTGCCTGGAACCCAGTAACAGAAACCAGCACTTCTGTGAGATCCCAGAACCTTTTGGTTCTGTTCACTGAAGCATTGTCACAGTTCAGGTGTTGGTTCATCCTGCTTAAGTTCTGCACTGAAGTAACCCACCCTCTACTCTATGTGAACATTCTTTAAACTGATGCCTTTATCCCAAGTAACGTACAATTGCAAAGGCAGGGTCAACCAGTTCCTGAACCCATGAAGGGGGTTAAGGAAAAGCTCTCCACCAACGCTGAGATCTGAACTAATAACCTACTGATCACAGGCATAGAGTCCTATCCCACACAGCAGCCCCCCAAATTAGCATCTTTCAAACCAGAATTGAATCAGCAACCTATCAGCTCATATGCCACTACAGTCCTCTGCTCTACCAACTGAGCTATCGAAGGAAATCTGGCAATAGCAGACGGGAACCAACGTGTTCTTCTTAAAATATATTTCCCACACTGAACCCACTGCATCTATCCATCCATCTATCCCACAACTGCTGGTCCAGTACAGGGTTACACAGACCATATGGCAGGGGACACCATAACTGGGATGACCTTCATTCATACATAATTAAAAATAGGATATGTAGACCAGGATTTGAACCTCTGCGTGTGTGAAGTTTGCATTTTCTCCCCGTGTCACTGGGGGTGTCCTCCAGGTACCCCCCCACAGTACATGCTGAGGTTAATTGCAGTTGCCAAATTGCCCGTAAATGTGCGTGGGTGAAGGAATGGTGTGTGTGGTGTGTGAGTGTGACTGGTGTGTGATTGACTGGTGTGTGAGTGTGACTGGTGTGTGAGTGACTGGTGTGTGATTGACTGGTGTGTGAGTGTGACTGGTGTGTGAGTGAATGGTGTGTGAGTGACTGACTGGTGTGTGAGTGACTGGTGTGTGATTTACTGGTATGTGAGTGTCCTGCAACGGGATGGTGCCCCATCCTGGGTTGTTCCCTGCCATGTGCCCATATCCTCTGGGATAGGGTCCAGACCCCCCGCAACAGTAATTAAGATAAGTGGTTACTGAATACGGTGGGATGGATGGATGGGTCTGTAGAATGATGAAGACAACCAAACACACAAAATATCTTAATAAACATGATACAGTCTCAGGCAAAGAAGTATATAGTGTATTTTTTAATGGGGTGAATAGAGCCTGATTTGACATCTAAAAAACATAGTACAATATAGACTGAGATTTAAAGAGGTTTTAATGCTTGCAGCACAGCTGCAGTAATGTTGACATTCAAATTATAGTTATAGCAGTGAAATATGCATTTCTCTCTGTGAAACCCTGATCCTGGACCAGTTCATTCCTTTATTGTAACACTGGGATCAGCCACTTAACGGCAATGGGGAAACATAAAACATTTTAGTGAGATTATGGAAAAAGGAACGGGTGATTGAATGAATATGACACTCCCAGTCACATGACTTCCCCTCCTGAGATGGCCACACCCCCAGGGATCGTATTCCTGAATTCATTATGATTACAGTAGTTATTTTTTGATTTGGTAGCTGGGAGGCTCTATATCACAGCAATCATTTAAACTGAAAACTGCATTTTTGTCTTTTTTTTCTGTAAACACCAACAAATGTCATGTTTGAGTTTAATAAAAAGAGTGCCTTGGTCCTCTGCCCGCCCTCGGGGCCACGTGGCTGTGTTTGCCTACTCCCACCCTCCTCATGCTTTCCAACAAACAAACTCACCCTCTGCTCAAAAGCTCTGTTATTATACTGAACACACTGAGAGTCAGATTTCACGCCCGGTGGGGTCACACACCGAAAATGATCGGAATCATAGCCGGCTGTGAGCCAGCGGGAGGCAAATTGTTGGCACAGTAATAGCATCCAGCTTGATTGTGTTACTATGGCAACAAATTGCCAACCCCATGCCCATGGTGACTTGGGTAATGAATCCCTGCAGGCTCTGAAATGGCTACGTGCGCCGTCAGTCATCAATGGGGCCAGCTGGGCGAGACTCGGGGGCGAGACTCGGGGGCGAGACTCGGGGAGTCAAGGGCAACTTTCTTGCTCG